ATAGATAGATAGATAGATAGATAGATAGATAGATAGATAGATAGATAACCTTAGAGGGCCTTGGAATAAATAAATGTATGTATGTAAATAAAATGGGGACTGTGTGTACTCCAGCTGTGGAGTAACTTATATCTCAGAATAGTCTAATCATGGTTAAGCACCAGGCTAGAAACCAGGAGACTGTAAATTCTTGTTCCACCTTGGGCGTAAAAACCAACTGGGTGAATTTGAGCCAGTCACTCTTTCTCAGCCCAACTCATCTCATAGGAATGTTGTGAGGAAAATAGGAAGAAGAATAAGTAATGAGTATTGTGTTCATTATTTTTGGAGTGGTGCAGAGGCCTAGAGGTAGAGCTCTTGCCTCACAATCAGGAGGCTGTAAGTTCAAAACTAGGTTGCAGCAGTTATTTTTTTCTCTGGGTAAACTCTGCATTGGTGACAGGAAGGGCATCTGGCCAGTAAACCCTCAGCTCCATTCAGTTGCCCTGACTCCACCCCGATGCAAGAGATTACAGGGTCATTAAAAGACAAAAAATGTGTTTATTATCTTCAGTTATTTATAAAAATAACAAAATCAAGACACATACAGGACATGTGTACCCCATATACCTCTTAAGAAAAGCAGGGCTGGATAGATGGGCAGATTTGATTCTGGCAGGTGTTGCTTGATGGATAATAGTATTAGGCCATCTAAGGATTTAAAGGTAAAAGAATTAGAGGTTTTAAGGTTAAGGCAATTGTGTTACCCTAAAAACAAACCAGCAAACAAAATCTCCCTCTCTCAAATAATTCTTCCTCCGTGGGTGTGTTAACTGATAAAAACGGATGCTGCAATATTATTTTCACCCAGGGCCATAGGCAATAGCTTTTTAAAATAAACAAAAGATAAGAAATCTGAACACAGATCTCTTGCATCCTATGTTGTTTTTTTAGCTAATATAATTTAACCTTAGACTGTCTACTATTGACCTCACCCCTTTCCTAAGAGGTCTGTAGGGGGCGTGCATAAGCGCACCAACGTGCTTACCATCCCTGTCCTATTGTTTCTCTTATTCTTCTTTTATTTTTCTTATATGTACCCATTTCATGTATTCACAACTATGTATACACTTATACTTATTATCTTGTAAACAATTGGCAAATCAAATAAATAAATAAATAAATATTTCTTAATTTTGGCATCTTTATGAAGACTTCAACTCCCAGAATGACCCAGTCAACCTTCAGGGACCGCCAACTTTAAAGTTGAGAAACACTGGCTTATTGAAGCAATGGATTGTGTTACAGAAAAGATCAGATGGCCACTGTTCACACACAACTATGATTGATAAATCAACTACTATATATGACATACAGTTCACAATCTCCTCA